TGGAGGCCCAGCTACGACAACAGCGGCTCCCGCTCGGTACTTTCTGACAATTTAGCCCGACGCACTCTGGCCAGAGAGGCCCCCGAACTCGGGAACGGCGCTCTCGCTCGAGACTTCTTCGCAATTCAATGAAGTTGTCGGAGGCCCAGCCACGACGACAAGGGCTCCTGCTCGATACTTCCTCACGATTTACTCCGAGAGCTCCTGGCCAAGAAGGCCACCGAACTCAGGAACGGCGCTCTCGCTCGAGACTTCCCCGTAATGCAGGAAAGTTGGTGGAGGCCCGGACACGGCGATAAGGGCTCCCGTTCGATAGTTCTCCAGAGGTATTCCGTGAGCCCTTGGCCAGAGAGGCCCCCAAACTTATGAACTGCGCTCTCGCTCGAGATCTCTTCGCACTTCAGTCAGTGGCCGACAAGGAAGAGATTCCCCCCGCAAGGGGGTGCAATCGAAGACGAAGTGGGCGGGTATCGAGGGTTGGGGTATACGGAATGCAAGACACGCGTGCCAGTAAGAGCGAGCACTCTTAAAATGATTGTTGTGGCGTGGTTCCCCAGAGGTCTGGGCCCTTTTCCGAGCACCCGCTTTTCATCCCGAGTCGTTTCTTGACGGTCCCGCGGGGCTGGCGAAGGTCCTGGGGGGGCGGAAGAGGGGCTGCATCCCTCCGTCGTGTTTTTTTTTTTTTCCGCAGCGAGAGGATGTCAGGGCCTGGTCGTCTCCACGCTGGCTCTCTCTCTCTCTCTCTCTCTCTCTCTTTTTTTTTCGGGACCCCGCACCGTGGAACGCGCGCCTTTGGACTCGTCCCTCCTCGACGCGGCCGCGGCGCCTGCGCGGGCTCTTCGAAGGCTGTCAACGCTCTCGGGGGGTGCCTCGGGCCCCTGGGGCCCGCAGGAGCCAGAGGCCACATCAGGGGGGGGGTAGGCTCGGGGGGGAAGGTTCGAAGGTTCGAAGGTTCGCAGTTCCTCCACCTCCTCCTCCTTCTGCTCCTTCTTTTTTTCCACCTCCCCCTGCCCATCGTCCTCCTTCTCCTCCAGGCCTTCGTACGTTTCCGTCGGATCACGGTGGTCGTCCAGCCTCGGGATGCCTTCGGCAGCTGCGCCTCGTCGAGAGCGTTCCCGGGGTGCCCGCATCGTCCCGAACGGCCGCCAGAGAGTCGAGCTATGACCTGAATACAACGGGCAACATGCGGGGGGGAGGCTCAGGGGGGGGATGCGTTGACTCCCAGTCGCCCATTCATCGCCGATAGCGGCCCAATGGCCCACCCTTCCTGGGAGCGTGCGTCTTCCGTATCGCCCGCCTGTCGCCGATCCATCGGCGATGTATTCCCCATTCCAGGTTGATGCTTCCCCTCCTAAGTCGGTGCACCGCTCACGCCCCCCTCAAGATGCCGACTCACGGCGCGACATACATGTACTAGAGATGTGGCCGCCAGCATTTGGGGCGTTGTAGAAAGGGTTTCGCCTTCGAGGGTTGAGAGGCCGACGTCTCTTCCTCTCAGAAGGCTGGTGGAAGATGTCGGAGCTAAAACGAGCGCCGCTCCACCGGCGGAAGCTGGCGGAAGCTGGCGGACGCAGGCGGAAGTAAATAATTTGCCTCCGAAAGGTGGCATTTTTTGGGGATCCAGCGTTTCCGGAACCAGCCAATTTGGGGACCCCGAGCGGAGAGTGTGCGCAAGACCAAGAGGTTCGCGCGGTGTCAGACAGTTTGGCCCAGCCCAGGCCTTCGGCTTCTCGAGTCTTCAGTCTGTGACCCCGAAAGCTCCCGAACGCTTCCTCCGGGCTGGCTTCGCATCCCAGCTAATTCGGATGGCCTCGGGGTCCGACGCAGGCCCCCCAGCGGCCCATATTCAAGAAGAAACGGCCGCCACGACTGTTTCGCGGCAAAGGGTCTGAGGGGATGCGTAATTGTGAACGACTCCGTCCGCGATCTCTTCGCCAGACATCCGACGTTTTTTGCTGCTGTCGCTGTTGTTTTCAACCTGCGGCCCGCGGAACACGGGCTCGACACAAAGGGTGTTTTGGCGATTCCGTGTACGGCTTCCGTTTTGATTTCGTTTTGCAGCAGCGGCGGAACGAAGACAGTGCGAGGTAAAACGAAACAAGTACGAAAGCAGAAAACTATGTTTAGGTCAAGATCTGCCCAGAGCTCCCGACTACTGCTTCTTCTCACTGAGAAAGTTAGGATTTAGCGTCGGCCCAGCTCGTGGTTCCTCCGCAACCAGGGACGACGCTGTTCGCGATTTTTCCTTGGTTCCCTCGCGGTCCCGCGATTCCTGCGTGATGCCTACGATCGGCGGCGAGCGTGAGGGGGAAGTGAGAAGGAGACGGCCTTCTCAGAAGGCGGCGGGGCTTCTCAGAAACACTCATGCCTTCCGAGAAGGTCTTTGCGTCTTCGGGGAAGGCTGAGACAACTTTATCAGACGGCCAGGGGACTTCCGAACCTTCCATGCCCGCCCCTTTGCACTTCCCCCCCCGGGCTGGCCGCCGATACGAGATCCCCTCGCGAAGAAGTCGACATCTTCGCGTTCTTCCTCCGTGGCTCCACCTGCGATGCTCCGTGTTTCCGCGGACACGCCCAAAGCCACCCTTGCCACCCCTGCCGCCCCGCCCTAGCACGCTCCACGCGACGTTCGCCAACCCGTGGGTCTTCCTCAAGAAGACCACGGCCTCGATCGGGGACCGCGGCCGTCTTCGTCGCCGCCGCCGCCGCCGTCGCCGTCGCCGTCGCCGTCGCCGTCGTCGTCGTCGTCGTCGTCGTCGTCGTCGTCGTCGTCGTCGTCGTCATCGTCGTCATCGTCGTCATCGTCGTCGCCGTCGTCGTCGCCGTCGTCGTCGTCATCGTCGTCGTCATCATCGTCGTTGTCGTCTTCGTCGTCGTTGTCGTCTTCGTCGTCGTCTAGGATGCATGGTCGAGGCCTTCGGGTGTTTCTGGCCTCTTGGGTCTCTTGAGGCCTCGAGAGGGCTATCAGGACCTCCAGGGATCTTTCGCCCCTGGAGACATCCAAGGGCCGGTCCAGGGGGGAGCAGAAGGAGGGCGACGGGATCGGGCAGTTTGCGGAATTATGAGGGGCGGGAGAGAAGGTCCAGGGTGTCCGCGGTTTTGTCGGTCAGCTGCGTCGCAGTCGGTTCGCTTGGGTCGGTTGTCGTGTCGTTGCCGCGTCGTGGCGGCCTTCTGGGCTGCCCACGGCCAGTTTGTGTGGATCGGTTCCGATGTCTCCGTTGGTTCGTGCAGTCTTCGATTGTTACCGCCGCCGTGGACGGCCTTGTGAGTCGCCGAGGGCGAGGACAGGTGGGAGCGGGCAGGTGGAAGCGAGGCGGACAAGGAACGACGAGGAGGAGGAGGAGGAGGAGGAGGAACGAGGAGGAGGAGGAGGAGGAGGAGGAGGAAGAAGAGGAACGAGGAGGAGGGAGGAGGAGGGAGGAGGAGGAGGAGGAGGAGGAGGAGGAGGAGGAGGAGGAGGAGGAGGAGGCAGATGCTTGTGCAGATTCTCCTTCCCCCGAAGGCACGCTGCCGGAGCTTCCGGCTGCGCGGGCGGCTCCTCCGTGCACGAGGCGCGGCATTGTCGGGCTCCATCGATGGCCAAGAGTCAAGCGTGGTTTGCGCTCCACGTGCCCGCCTGAACATCGAGAGGCGGGGTCGCCGGTCTGTCTGGCATCGTATGGTGTCGGGCAAACACGAAGTCCATACGTCTGACGGTTTTTCTTACTGTGTGTATATATAATAATAATAATAAACCGATGCTTTTTGATTGAACAATCGCGGCTCTTTTTCTTAAACTTCGGATTCTGGGGCCTGTTATCGGGCCTGGGGACCATCACACACGGATCCAGACGCAGAACTACTCTGGGGAAGGGGTCGCGGGGTTGGTGGCCTCAAATGGAAAAAGTTAGATCCGAGAGCGTCTGGGAACATTGCGAGATGCGTCCTCGTGCGGGCATTCCAAATGTCTATGAAGAAATCCGCCAAGACCTTCTCCATATCATGATTGTGCATATTTTTCTTTGCCTTCTTCTATCCTGGCTCCTACCTCCTCCCTTCTCTCTCATCTCTTCTCCTTCGTCCGTCCTACCTCCTCCCTTGTCCCTCTTACCCGGTTGGAGTTCCTCCCTAATCCTCCTCCTCCTCCGCATCCTTCGCCCCTGACCAATATCTCTCTTCACCCCAGACATCCGACGCCGTTTTTTTTCGCAACGTGGCTCCCTAGAGGTCCGGGCCTAGTCCCTAGGACCAGCGAATCATCACGAACCGCTTGTCGACGGTCCTGGGGCCCACCGAGGGCCCTCGGAGGCCGACAATGAGCAAAGACCTTCCGTCGTGTTTTTTTCTTTTTCAAAACAAGAAGATGTCAGTGACCTCCTCCTTCTGCCCATCCTCCCCGTCGTCGTCGTCGTCGTCGTCGTCGTCGACGTCGTCGTCGTCACGTCGTCGTGGTCGTCATCGTGGTGGTCGTCGTTGTCGCCTTCGTCGTGGCGTCGTCGTCGCCGGCGTCGTCGTCGTCGTTATCAGGGGCAACGATTGGGGGGGATGGGCATAAGTAGGGGGGGATGCATCGACCCCCAATCGCCCATTGTACGCCGATAGGGGTCCGATAGCCCCAGCCTGCCCAGGAACATGCGGATTCACAATCGGGGGCCTATCGCCGATCTATCGGAGATGTATCGCCGATTCCAGCTCGATGCATCCCCCCCTATGCCAGTCCCCCCTTATCGTTGCCTCTCACGTTGTCACGTCGTCGTCGTCGTCGTCGTCGTCGTCGTCTTCGTCGTCACGTGTTCGACGTCGTCATGTCGTCGTCGTTGTCGTTGTCGTCGTCGTCGTCGCGTCGTCGTTACCGTCGTCATCGCCGTCGTCGTCGTCGCCACGTCGTCGTCATCGTCGTCGTCGTCACGTCGTCACGTCTTCGTCACGTCGGCGCCATCGTCGTCGTCGTCGTCGTCGTCGTCGTCGTCGTCGTCACGTCGTCGTCGTCGTCGTCACGTCGTCGTCAGGGTGGTCGGTATCGTGGTCGCCGCCGCCGTCGTCTTTGTCGTCGTCGTCTTCGTCGTCGGCGTCACATCGTTGCCTTGGTCCTTGTCGTCACGCCGTCGTCGTCGTCGTCGCCGCCGCCGTCGTCGCCGCCGTCGTCGTCGTCGTCGTCGTCGTCGTCGTCGTTGTCGTCGTCGTCGTCGTCGTCGCCGTCGTCGTCGTCGTCACGTCGCCGTCGTCGTCGTCGTCGTCGTGTTCGTCGTCGTCACGTCGTCTTCGTCGTCGATGTCGTCGTCGTCGTCGTCGTTGTCGTCGTCATTGACGTCGTCACATCGTCGTCGTCACGTCGTCGTCACGTCGTTGTTGTCGTCGTTGTCGTCCTGTCGTTGTCGCCGTCGTCGTCGTCGTCGTCGTCGTCGTCGTCGTCGTCGTCGTCGTCGTCGTCGTCACGTCGTGTTGTCGTCGTTGTCGTCGCGCCGTCGTCGTCACGTCGTCGTCATGTCGCCTTTGTCGTCATCGTCGTCACGTCGTCGTCGTCGTTATCACGTCGTCGCCGTCGTCACGTCGTCGTCGTCGTCGTCGTGACCACGCCGTCCTCGTCGCCACGTCGTTGTCGTCGTTATCAAAGTGTCGTCACGTCGCCGCCGTCGTCGTCGTCGTCGTCGTCGTCGTCGTCGTCGGCGACGTCGTCGTCGTTATGGTCGTCGTCCTCGTCGTCGTCGTGGCGTTGTCGTCGTCGTCGTCGACGTTGTTGTGTCGTCGTCACGTCGTTATCGTCGTCGTTGTCGTCACGTCGTCGTCGCGTCGTCGTCGTCGTCGTCAGCGTCACGGTCGTCGACGTCGTCGTTACGTCGTCGTTGTCGTCCTTGCCACGTCGTCGTCATGTCCTTGTCGTCGCCGTCACGTCATCGTCGTCGTCGTCACGTCGTCGTCGTCACGCCGTCGTCGTCGACACGTCGTCGTCGCTGCCGTCGTCGTCACGTCGTCGTCGTCATTATCGTCGTCGTCGTCGTCGTCGTCACGTCGTTTTCGTCGTCGTTGTCGTCGTCGTCGTCATTATCGTTGTTGTCGTCGTCGTCGTCACCGTCGTCGTCACCTTGTCGTCACGTCGTCGTCGTCGTCAAGTCGACGTCGTCGCCTCGTCGTCGTCGCCTCGGCGTCGTCGTCGTCGTCGTCGTCATCGTCGTCACGTCGTCGTCCTCGTCGTCGTTGTCGCCACGTCGTGGTCGTCGTTTTCGTGGGCGTTATCGTGTTCGTCGCCGTCTTCGGTTTTGTCGTCGTCGTCTTAGTCGTCGGCGTCACGTCGTCGTTGTCGTCATCATCGTCATCTTCTTCACGGCGTTTTCGTCGTCGTCGTCACATAATCGTCGTCGTCGTCACGTCGTCGTCGTCCTCATCGTCGTCGTCGTTACGTCGTCGTCGTCGTTGATATCGTCATCGTCGCTGTCGTCGTCACATCGTCGTCGTCACGTCGTCGTCACGTCGTCGTCGTCGTTGTCGTCACGTCGTTGTCGTCGTTGCCTGCGTTGTCGTCATCGTCGTCGTCGCCTCGTCGTCGTCGTCGTCGTCGTCGCGCTGTCGTCGTTACGTCGTCGTCGTTGTCGTCGACGTCGTCACGTCGTCGTCGTCGTCGTCATTATCACATCATCGTCGTTGTCACGGCGTTGTCGTCGTTATCACGTCGTCGTCGCCGTTGCCGTGATCGTCGTCCTCGTCGCCGTCATCGTCCTCGTCGTCGTCACGTTGTCGTCGTCGTTGTCGTTTGGTCGTCGTCGTCACGTCGTCGTCTTCGTCGTCGTCGTCGTCACGTCGTGGTCGTCGTCGTCGTCGCCACGTCGTCGTCATGTCGTCGTCGTCGCATCATCGTCGTCATTGTCACGTCGTCGTCGTCCTCGTCACGTCGTCGTCGTCATCGTGGTTGTCGTCACGTCGTCGTCGTCGTTGGCGTCGTCGTCGTCGTCGTCGTCGTCAGCACAACGTCGTCACGTCGTCGTCGTGGTTGTCGTCGCCTTCGTCTTTCATGTAGTTGTCCTCGTCAGCACAACGTCGTCATCGTCGCCTTCGCATCGTCATTATCGTCGTCGTCGTCACGTCGTCGTCGTCGTGTCGTGATGTCGTCGTCGTCGCATCGTCGTCGTCGTCACGTCGTCGTCGTCGTCATGTCGTCATCGCCGTCACGCCGTCTCGTCGTCGTTTTCGTCGTCACGTCGTCGTCGTCGTCGTCACGTCGTCGTCGTCTTCGTCGTGGCGTCGTCGTCGCCGGCGTCGTCATCGTGGTCGTAGTCGTCACGTTGTCGTTGTCGTCGTCGTCGTCGTCGCGCCGTTGTGGTCAGTGTCGTCGTCGTCGTCACGTCGTTGTCGGCGTCGTCTCGTCATCGTCGCCATCGTCGTGTCGTCGTCGTCGTCGTTTCGTCGTCGTCACGTAGGCGCTGTCGTCGTCGTCGTCGTCGTCACGTCGTCGTCGTCGTGATCGCCGTCACCTCAGCGTCACGTTGTCGACGTCATCGTCCTCGTCGTCGTCACGACGTCACGTCGTCGTTGTCGTCGTTTCGTCGTCGTCACGTCGTCGATGTCGTCATCGTCGTCGTCCCTTCGTCGTCGTCGTGGTCGTCGTCCCCTCGTCGTCACGTTGTCGCCGGCATCGTCGTCGTCGTCGTCACGACGTCACGTCGTCGGTGTCGTCGCCGTCGTCGTCGTCGTCGTCGTCGTATTCGTCGTCGTTGCTCTCGTCATCGTCGTCGTCGTCGTCGTCACGTCGTCATCACGTCGTTGCCGTCGTCGTCGTCGTCGTTTTCGTCAAGTCGTCGTTGTCGTCACGTCTTCATCAGGTCTTCGTCGTCTTCGTTGTCGTCGTCACGTCGTCGTCGTGGGCGTCGTCTTCACGTCGGCGTCGTCGTCGTCATCGTCGTCGCCGGCGTCGTCGTCGTCACATCGTCGTCGTCACGTCATCGTTGTCGTCACGTCGTCGTCGTCGTTGTCACGTTGTGGCTGTCGTTGTCGTCGTCGTCGTCGTCGTTGTCGTCGTCATGTCATCGTTGTCGTCGTCGTCGTCGTCGTGGTCGTCACGTCGTCGTCGGCGTCGTCGTCACGTCGTCGTCGTCGTCACGTCGTCGTCGTCGTCGTCACGCCGTCGTCGTCGTCGTTGTCGTCTTTATCTTCGTCGTTGTCTCGCTGTCGTCGTCTTCGTCGTCGCCGTCGCCGTTTTCGTCGTCGTGGCGTCGTTGTCGTCGTCACGTTGTCGTCGTCGTCGTCGTCGTCGTCGTGGTCAGTGTCGTCGTTATCGTCGTCGTCGTTGTCAGCGTCTGCGTAACGTCGCCGTCGTCGCCGTCGTCGACGTCGTCGTTGTCCTCGTCGTCGTTGTCACGTCTTCGTCGTCGTCTTCGTCGTCGTCGTTGTCGTCTCGTCGGCGTCACGTCGTCGTCGTCGTCGTCGTCGACGTTGTCACGTTCTCATCGTCGTGGTCGTCGTCGTCGTCGTGATGTCGTCGTCGTCGTCGTCGTCTTCACCGTGTCATTATGGTCGTCGTCGTCGCCTTCTCATTATCGTCGTCGAGGTCACGTCGTCGTCGTCGTCGTCGTCGTCACGTCGTGTCGCCGGCATCGTCGTCGTCGTCGGCGTCGGCGTCGTCGTCGTCGTTGTCGTCTCGTCGTCGTCGTCGTCGTTAACTTTTCTTGTCGTTATCGTCGTCGTTAACTTTTCTTGTCGTTATCGTCGTCGTCACGTCTTCTTCACGTCTTCGTCGTCTTCGTTGTCGTCGTCACGTCGTCGTCGTCGTCGTCGTCGTCACGTCGTCGTCGTCGCCGTCGTCGTCGTCATCGTCGTCACGTCGTCGTCGTTGTCATCGTCGTCACGTCGTGGTCGTCGTCGTCGTCTCGCCGTCGTCGTCACGTCCTCGTCCTCGTCCTCGTCGTCGTCGTCGCCGTCATCGTGGTCGTCGTGGTCGTCGTTGTCGTCGTCGCCGTCGTCGTCGTCACGTCGCCGTCGACGTCGTCATCACGTCGTCGTTGTCGTTGTCGTCCTTGTCGTCGTCGTCGTCGTTGTCGTCGTCGTCATGTCGTCACGTCGTCGTCGTCGCCGTCGTCTTCTTCGTCGTCGTCGTCGTCATCATGCCCCGTCCGTTCTTCCCCTTCGGCGCGGGGTGCCGCTGTCTCCTGCCTCCCTCCTGGCGGCTGGCGCGCCCGGCAGGACGAGATGGAGGAGGAGACGTTCGAGCTGCCGACGGAGGAGGACCCGTTCCCAGATATCCGACGCGCCGAGAGGATTGGAACGATTGGCTTTTGGCCGTTGCCTGGCCTCCAGGGGCCCTCGCGGGCCTCGTGTCCGTCAAAAAAGAGCTCCACGGAAAGCCGGCCCTAGGGAGGTGGTCCAGACCCCAGGGGCCCACGCCCCACGCATCGAAAACATTAGAGCGGCCAGACGGTTCTGAGGCTGGGGTGAATCTCTGCCCATCCCCTGGGAAGCCGATCTCACTGGACCTCGGGAGGCGGTGGATATGGACATATTTGGGCCCCCATGGGGCCTACATATTTCCATATTCAACGCTCCTGGGGTCGCAGGACATGGGTTCCCCAGGCTGTGTAGATGGAAAATCTCCGCCTCGCAACCCAGACACCCTCGCGTTGCGACACGACCGTCAGATCCAGGCGGAGCGACAAAAATCGCGACGGTCGGCTTTTTTGCACGTTGTCAGTATCTGGAGGCTGGTTTCCTGGCTCTCGGGCCGTCAGAAAACGACTCAGGATGAAGCGCTGGCCCCGGGGAAGGGGTCGAGATCCCCGGAGGCCCGTGTCGCGAAACAAACGTGCGACGTCGGAGGCGAGAGGGCGGCAGTTTTTTGTTGGCGCTCTCGGCCTCCCGCGAGCCCTTGCCTGGCATTGGGGCCCTGGGGCCGTCAGAATGGAGAAACCGGCCCCGAGGAAGCGGACCAGACCTCCAGGGGTCCACGTTGTGAACGTAATGGCAACGTCGGGGGTCTGCGGAGGGGTGGGGAGGTAGGGGGGAGGCAGGGCGCGCATACCGGTGGTATCGCGAGCAGAGAACTATTGCTTCCTTTTTGCTCATACATATGTGTATATCTACACACATATATATATATGTATATATAAGCATGCATCTATAATACCGGCTGGGTTCTTCTTTGTACTCTGTATGGGGATTTGTTTTCCCCCGTCTGATGCCTCCGTTTCTTCCTTCTCTTGCTCCCGCCTGCCCCTTTATTTACCACCGGCAGCCACGCTCACTCGTAATCAATCGCCCATACGCTCAGATGTTTTTAGCCACTCGCGCTCCGATTCACTCATACCCAAGCCTACTCATACCCAGACCCGCCTATTTCCAGCCTCGCTCGTTTTCAGACCCACTCGCCGCCAATACTCCAGACTCATATTTACTAGAACTCAAATTATTTTCAGTTTCATCTACAGGATGAGAGGAGGGCGACGAACACGGGTTATGACAAGACGAGACATATGATAATGACGATGGCTTCGTGACGGTACGCGCGCGGGACACCTTCGATTGGCCAGCCATGTTCGATCGTTATGGTTTTGACACTCTTGTGTGATGATCGCGATTATGTCGATCAAACCGCCTTGCGTGCAATGTCGGCGTTCGCTGGGGCTGCACAATCGACGCACGACGCATGTTAGATTTGTTGTGATTGTTGTCGTTGGCGTCATTTGTTTCCACAGCCAACCACATCGTGTGCGTCACACAACTCCGTTGGATGATGTGCGTCGCACAGGTACGACACGCATTACCCTCGTTATCCTTTTTATCGTCGCCCTCATCCTCTTCGTCTCTTCGTCCTCTTTCTGCTTCCATCCTTTGTATTGGTCCCTGTACACACTCATCTTTACTTGCGGCATCCTGGCTGGAGAATGGCCCAGGTCTGCGGCGACTTCACTCGCGAGGTAAGCCTTCCTTAGGCTGGCGCCTGATGCTCTTATAAGCTTGCAGGCGATCCAGCTTCCGAGTCATGAATCGCCCGCCCGCCATAGTCTACATCAGGACTGAGGCGACCTGACCCTCACGTCAAGTCGCGAATGACCTCGTAGCCTCAGTCGCTTCCAGGGCTCGTCCCCCGCCCTCGTGAGCGGAAAACATGTCCGTATCCACGGCCTCGCGTGCCGGGCTCCTGGGGCTGCGACCCTGTAGACACGGGGCGTTTTTTCGCGGATTCCCGGCGCGGGCTGTATCTTTGCGACCGCGTATCCATTGGATCGCGCCCCGGAATCCAGACCGCGAGGGCGTCTCGGGGCTCAAGAGACGGGGGTCAATGCAAAGGGGGTCAGCCAGAGCGCCCGATCGTGCAGGATCCTGCAGGGTCAGGGTCGCATTGACCCGGGCTCGGGTGCAGGATCCTGCAGGATCTTGCAGGATCCTTCGCGTTTGCCCAGGCTTGGGTGCAGGATCTTGTAGGATCTTGCGAGATTCTGCAAGCCTGACTGACCCGGGTCTGGATTGACCCAGGTCAGAAGATCTCCGAGCGTCGTTAGGGATACGCTCGCCGCTCGTGACTCTCCTCGTGGCCTGGCCTGCTGCCGACCATTCCAGCTGGCGCGCTCGGCCAGGAGACGAAGGCGCGCATCCCGAAGGAGCTGGAGAGCAGGACCGGCGGGCGGTTCTGGGACCCATGCCTCCCTCGCATCCGGCGCCGCGACTTTTTCGCGGCGTGCCCCCCCCCCTCCACCCCCAGATCTCTCGACCCTCTCGCGGGGGCCAGTCTGTTGTCATCTCTGACGTGCCCTCGTTACGAGATGTCCTCCCCCTCCAGATCTCTCGACCCTCGCGCGGGGGCCCGTCTGTCATCCCTGACGTCCCCTCGTTACGAGACATCACGACGGCAGTTTTTTGCCGATTTTCAGCCTCCAGAGGCCCTCAACGGGCTCCAGGACCGTCCCCCAGAAAAACGACTCGGGATGTCAAGCCCGTCCAGGGGAAGGGGTTCAGACCTCTGGGGGGCCATGTTGGTCCAGGGGAAGGGGTCCAGACCTCTGGGGAGCCACGTTGCCGAGGAGGTCACGACGGAGGATATGTCTGGGATCCCAGTCGACTTCTTGGTGGCCCCGGTGCCGAAACGGGGAGGCCACAGCTCAGGGTCGCACGGGGGATCTGACGGCCCGTCCTTCCCGAGGCGTCCGCAGGTCCATGCAGGTCTGTGGAGGTCTCCCGAGGCGTGCATCTGGAGGGCCGAAGAGGCGCACACGCCCTCTGGCAAGCCAGACATCCGAGATCTTCGATCTTCCAGGGGAGAGGAGGTGGATGCGGGAGCACGAGGAGGAGGAGGAGGAGGAGGAGGAGGAGGAGGAGGAGAAGGAGGAGAAGCAGGGGGAGGAGGAGGAGGAGGAGGAGGAGCAGGAGGAGCAGGAGGAGGAGGGGATGATGATGATGATGATGATGATGATGATGATGATGATGATGATGATGATGATGATGATGATGATGATGATGATGATGATGATGATGATGATGATGATGATGATGATGAGGATGATGATGAGGAGGAGGAGGAGGAGGAGGAGGAGGAGGAGGAGGGGAGGAGGAGAAGGTGAATGAGGAACATGAAGGAGGATGGGGATTGGGATAAGGAGGGGGAGGAAGAGGAGGAGAAGGAGGAGGAGGAGGAGGAGGAGGAGGAGGAGGAGGAGGAGGGGGAGGAGGGGAAGGAGGAGGAGGAGGTGGAGGAGGAAGATCCCCAGTTGGCTGTTCTGCCCTATGATGGTCCAGTGCGCCCGCACGGGCCGCCATGACACCGCACTTCGTGCCGCTGGCACGGGGCGCTCAAGATGTCTCACAGAGACCTCGAGACACTGCCCAGCCGACGCCACAGACCAGCCAGGGGATGTGCGGGAATATGCGGGAATGACGTCCACGGCTTTGTGAGCACGTTGGCGCCTTGAACGGCTCGCGGGGCGGCGGCGTGAGATCAGGCCACCTCTACCGGAGGAACGCCCCAGGGACAAGCCAGCCAAACACCAGAGGGCCAGACCGACCAGGGATGGAGGGCGGGGGCAGCTGGCGACGTAGCGGAGCGCCACCCTGCACCCGCAGACGGCTCAGACGGGGCAGCGGCCCGCGGAACGCCCTCCTGGGGCGCCCCGCCTCACGAGGCAGATCACAGCGCCCAGCATGGCTGACCCCGCACCTGGCACCAGTGCACCCGCTGTGGCTTCGCGCTCACGAAGTGCATGGTGACCGTCACCACTCGGAGCAAGGCCGACTGATTTATCGAGAGCCTCACTCGCTCTCAACTTCAGCCCGCTCTCCAATGAAGCAGTTGAGCATGGACTGAGGGTGCGGAGGAAACGGCGCGGCGTGGGCACGATGGCGGCGTCTCGAAGAAGTCGAAGCCGTGGGCACCGCGCAGCGTGGGCACGACATCGTCTCTGTTGGGCGAAACTGTATGCGCATCTGAGTTTTCCAGCGAGCGTATGAGCCCACCTCCTATGTTCTCGGAGGAAGGGAGGACAAGTAAGGAGTGAGGAGGAGGTGGAGGAGGAGGAGTAGGTGGAGGAGGAGGAAGAGAACGAGGAGAAGGAGGCGAGGGAGGAGGAGAGGGACGGAGGAGGAGGAGGACGAGGAGGAGAGGGACAGAGGAGGAGGACGGAGGAGGAGAGGGAGGAGGAGGAAGAGGAGGGGGAGGACCAGTGTACCCCCCAGACTCACCAACGATATTGCAATATATTCTCCCTCCAAGTTCCCTCCTTATGGGTCACATGCAAGGTTCATTTTCACGGGGGGAAGTGCCCCGCCGGAAGAAAGCCGTTTGAAAATCCTGAACGGTGCCAGAACACAGTTCTTGGGACTTCAATGCCGCTAATCTCCGATACTGTTGTGTCTTGACGATCCAGAATCGTGCCAGCATGCCGTTGCTGGGACTCCAACACCACGAATCAGCTTAAGTCTTGTGCCCTGGCAGTCCGAGGTCGTGCCCCAACACTCTTCTGGGGATGTTAGCGATGAGAACCGTTGAAGCTGCTGTAAACTCTTAAGGCGAATGTACGCGACGCTCAAGCGAGAGCTACACTTTAAAAAGGAGCCGCCCTCCATCCGTCAATCGGTTGCACAATGTTAGGGCGAATGTTCGCGCGGCGCGAAGGCGAGAGCCACATTTTGAAAACCGCCCGCCCTCCATCCGTGCACCCGTTGCAAATTTCATGCTCCAGAATCATGAATGGTGAGGGAGTCTCATGCGAAACGCCCAGCCCGCCCTTTTGATCGGCCTCGGGCTGCGAAAGTCAGGAGTTAGTTGTGAAGAAAAGGGGAGGAGGAGGAGGAGTAGGAGGAGGATATGTAGGAGGAGGGGGAGGAGGAAGAGGAGGAGGAGGAGGAGGACCAGAGTCAATCCAATAGTCATCAACAATGTTGGAGTAAACCCTCCCTCCAAGCTCCCTCTTCATAGACCCCTACAACGGTTCATTTCCGCCGAGGAAGCTGCCTCGGTGGAAGACAACCTTTTGAAGACCCTGGAGCATGCCAAAACATTGTTCTCGGGATTCCAACGCCAAGGATCAACCTGACTGCTGCGTCTTGACGGTGTGGAATCGTGCTCGAACACCGTCTTTGGCAGTTCAAGACCGCGATTCAGCATAACTGTTGCACCATCAGAATCAACCATCTTTCAATAACACCATATCTGGTACGATGACCATGGCAATCCGTGCAATTCTTGCAAACTTTCGAAACGAATGCGCGCGGCGCTAAGGCGATCACCACATGTTAGAAACAACCCGCCCTCAACCCGTGAAACTCTTACAAACTTTTAGAACGAATGTGCGCGGCGCTAAAACGAGAGCCACATGCTTTAATCAACCCACCCTCAATCCGTGAAGCTCTTGCAAACTGTTAGAACGAATGTTCGCGGCGCTAAGGCGAAAACAACATTTTGAAAGCCACCCGCTCTCAATCCGTCAAACTCTTGCATTTAAAACAAAAAAACAGTGTGCGCGGCGATAAGTCGAGAGCCACATGTTGAAAACGACCCGCTTTCCATTTGCGAGACTGCTGCTAATGCTGAAGCTTCAGGGTCATAAATGGTTCGGAATTCTCAGGCGAAGCGCAGGGCCCGCCCAAAACACGGGCTTCGGGGTGCGACAGGGCGAAGTTATTCATAAGGACAAGGAATGGAGGACGAGGTGGAGGAGGAGGAGGAGGTGGAGGAGGAGGAGGAGGAGGAAGAGGAAGAGGAGGAGGAGGTGGAGGAGGAGGAGCAAGAGGAGGAGGGGGAGGCGGGAGGAGGGAGGAGGGAGTGAGTGAGGAAGGGAGGGGTTCAAATTGGTGCCGCTGCCTGCTCTGCCGAGACCTGGCTGGCTCTTCCCCTGTTGGCTGCCCATGTGCCGCGACTCACTCTGGATTCCTCGTCCAACTAGCCAGCTCCACAACTGAGAGAGACTGGCCCCTCAGCATGTGTATTTCCTGACCTGCAGGTCCTACTCCCCCCAGCCTCCTCCCTTCGCCCTCCTCCTGCTCCTCCCTACTCCTGTCTTCCTCCGCTGCCGCCCCTCCTCAGCCAACGGCAGCGCTGGGAGTGTTCCCAGGGCAGTTGCAAGCTCTGCAGTGGTGTTCACATGTGGGCGTCTTCAGTGGTTGTGCCCCGCCCCCTGTGTCCCGCAGTCCCGAAGTCCTCCGCCTCCTCCTCCTCCTTCTCCTCCTCCTCCTTCCCGTGTCCTCTTGGCCCCCTTCCCCAGACATCCGACGCCGTGTTTCTTCACTACGTGGCTCCCCCAGGTTTGGATCCCTTCCTCGGAACCTGTTTTTCATCCTTGGTCGTTTTGCGACGGTCCCAGGATTCGTTGATGGCACCTGGAGACAGACAAGTACCTGGAAGCTGGATGCACATGTGGGGCCTGGCTTGGGCGAGAATCGTGAACACATGTGGCTGGATGTCTTGCCAGCGCACGGCCCTGCCCTACGTAGGTGTGTTTCCTCCAGTCTTCCGTCGCGATCCTTTCACAACCAGAGAATGTTCGGGTCTTGGGAAGGGGAGGCGACGGACGAGGAGCCCATCGAGCCCCGACCCCTCTCCCCCGGTGAGGAGTTCCTGGCCCCTGGCCCCTGGCCCTGCTTCCCGCTCGCGCACGCAGCTCCCCTCTTGCTGCCCGCGCGCCGGGGGCAGAAACTCCATGGACAACCTGGTCACGAAGGCGCCCGCGGAAGAGCGTCGCCGACGCCGTCGACGTCGTCGACGCCGACCCCTCCCCTTCCACTCCCTCCCCTCTCCTCCCCTCCCCCCATCCCTTCCCTCCCCGCCCTTGGTCAGAGTCGCCCCCCCCCCCCCCCCATTCCCTCTTTCCTCCCGTTCCTCCCTCCCTTCCGCCCCTCCCCCCCGCATGTGCTCAGTGGTCTCAGGAAGTTCGATGCGGATATCACCGACGCCGATTTCCACTCTGCTCCAGACTTCGCGCCCCCGAAGGAAAGAGTCACAGGCCGCCCAAGGCTGACCCAGACCTCCACCGTTTTCAGAGAGGCCCCGCCGAGGACTAGCCTCACGCCCTCGCCGAGGAGCAGCCCGCCCGCATCGCCCGGCACAGGGTCGAGCGCGCAGGCCAAGCGCGCCGCGCGCAGGTTTCAGAAGGTGGCTCCGTGACGGCCAGCAGTCGCCTCTCTCTTTTTTGTTGTTGTCATTTTCGCGCAGGCCGAGGGCCACCTATGATCAGCAGAGCACAGACGTACGTCTCTTGCCGGCGTCCGACCAGCCCCTCCTCCTCTCCCTCCTCCTCCTTCTCCTCCTCCTTCTCCTCCTCCTCCACCTCCCTCCTCCTTCTCCTTCCTGCTGCTCCCCTCCCTCCTCCTCCTTGTCCTCCTCCACCTCCTCCACCGCCTTCTCCTCCTCCTTCTCCTCCTCCTCTCCTCCTTCCGTTGCCATTTTGGCTCAAGACCAAGATGGTGTCCATTTCACTGCCTCAGCGGGGTAGGCTCCCACAGTCATCAGAAGTCTTTTCATCCTCTTCCATATCCCGCCCGAGCAAGGGCACTACATATTCACAGTCCAGTATCGCGAGGTGCGTTGCTCGCGTCCGCTCCGTGGTCTTGCTGATCGCGTTGAGGCAGATCTTGTGCCTATCTCTCGCCCCGCTACTTTTTGCCCGTCCACCACCCCCAACTACGGCACGGCTCGTTGGATGAGGATTGGAACGCTCACCTGGAGGCAGGATGCGCGATCCTCACTTCACCAAGGTGCCATGGCAGCCTCCGACAGCAGCATGTCCCACTCTTCAGACGGATCTCGCCAACCTCATTCTCGCACCCGTGATCGTCGAAGGCAAGACGCTAGTCACTCCAAGAGCAGGAGTGGAGGCGAACGAAGTGGCTCGAACAGAAGACAAAGACATAGGCATCGAGATCGTAGAGAAAAAGGCAGACATGCTGATCGTGACGAACGAGAACGCGAGCGAGATCGGCACGATGACAGACAAGACCTTTAACGAGCTGCTACCCGAACATCTGGACCTTCGGCTGCTCGCACGGACGCTGTCAACGAAAGAGATCCATGGCAAGCTGCGGCGACAGCTTCCGCACCTCAACGACACGCAGGTGCAAGTGGAGGGCCAGCTAGACCTCCTGGGCCGAACATGTTCTTCTTTCTCCACGAGCTAAACAACAAGTGGCTCGAGAGCTGGAACTTTTCCTACGTTTCCCGACGGAGGTGCGGCTACTGCTGGGAGTGCCACACCGATTGGCGGTCTGCCCACTCCCAGAGATGCTGCTTCCCCTCCTCCTCGTGCTGACTTTTCAGGCCTGGAACAAACGTTGGCGGCGATGGGCCAAGCTCAGATTGCGCAAGCGACGGCTCGACTCACGGCTACGGCGAACTCACTTATTGCCCAACACAGGCAGGTCTTCAATGAGCAGGTGCACGAATTCTTGGCAGTCCGCAAGCAGAACGCGGCGCACCTCGATTTGCACGACAAACGTATCCATGAACTTCACTCCAGAGCAGACAAGGTCGAAGCGGACCAACAACGCATGCGGCAGCAAATGCACGCTACGGAGCAGACGTTGGCAATGGCAGAAGCATCAGTCCCCTTTGATGTCCACCGGGTGGCGGAATGTGATAGTTCACCTGACCCAGCGGTATCCAGCATCGGAGCCCCGCGTGCAATGGCTCCCTCTGCCGTCAAGGCAGCCCTATCGGAATGGATTGTGGCTTCTGGCATTCCAACTGAGCAGCTCGTACTCCATGGGGGCGTTCCACAACGGAGGTTTCATCTACAACTGCAAGGAGAGGCTGCAGCCCCAGCCAGAGCAATGGCACTATCTCGCGTTCTCAGGACCCCCGCTGGGTTCTGAACATTCAGTGGCTTCGACACGGGAGGGATCAACGCCCCAGTTTACGTCGGCCCGCCCCGACAAGGGCCCGAAGCAAGTACGATTGGAATTGCAAACTAAACGGCTACAGCGCATTAGCCAGGATGCGCACGCTGGGCGCCGAATTGGGGCACAGAGAGCCAAGGGCATCATCGCCATCGACGCAGTCGCACAGGTCATGGTCGAAGTCCAAGGCCTTGGGGGTCCAGCCAGGCTGCGGTGGGGCTCGCCCATTTTTGCACGCTTCCACATCGACAGGCAACCTCTGATGGCAGCCTTTGGACAGGCGTTCCCTAGCGTGTATACATCTACGTGATCTATTTACCAGGAGATGGTCGCATTGGTTATCATAACAGAATCTGCTCGGCGAACTGGCACTACTGTCTCTTAGAATACTCGTGGATTGCTGCGCTACAAACCCCGCCGCAGGATGGCCGAGCTCAACGTATCTCGCCTCGCTCATGCGTGGGCGAGCTGTGATTTTGCTACAGTAATGCCGTGGGACGCTGGATAAATTGAATACAACCATTCTTACGCACCCGTACCCGTATAAGATCTTCAACAACCATTTGTCCCAGAAAGCGGGTGGTGCAGCATTCCTGGTACCGTTCGCGCCCTGGGATCAAGGAAATCCGCCAATTTCACCGTCAGATCTTTTGTGCTGGGGGAGTGTCTCTGCTCAGTATTTTCCAACGAACAGGACAACCTCACAATGAAGCTGATGAGCGCCCATAACTTCGAGATTGATGCGAGCTCGCAGAAGGAGATCCAGTCGAAATTGCGGGAAATGGTGCAATGGAGCATACAGGGTCCTTCTCGGAGGGCATTCATTGCAGCTGGAGGTTTCAGAGTAAAGTCTGGTCCCGCTCGCGGCTGCGCCGGCCCTGCCAACGAAGAGTGCGTTCCTGGCACCGCCCCGGGCGCGCGCAGTCGGGGTTCGCTGCCGCTCCAAAGCTGCTGGGGGCGTCTCTTCTCGCTGGTTACGGAAATTACGACGGACTGTCCTACCCGCTATTGCAAGGGCACTGCCATTGCGGCAACACTGGGTATATTATGTATTGGCATGCCGTCTCCCTATCTTCTCGATGCGGAGGTGTTGGCTGAGGTGGGCGTAGATGTCGCAGCCATCTCCGACTCCAGACTCAGCGACCGCGCGCCGATCCCATTATCGCTGCGGGACCGTGCCAGGCGCGATCAACAAACAAGTATTCCTGAGCAGGTATTTCGTGGCCCTCGGTATGGGGCATGGGAAATTCTTAGACAACTTCTTGAGGCAGATCAACTGGGTCGAGTTCCTGCAGTCTATCAATGGCGATGCATGAAGGATTTCATGACGGAGGCGGCTCGGCAAGCACGGGCTGAACTGCAACGATTTCCGATCTCATCGAAGGACGTTCGTTCCAAGGGTGGCAGGCTCATCACTCCACGGGCGATTTCACGTTGTATTTGGCGCGATGACATCCACGCGGCGCAGAGGCTGAAAAGGCCGCCGCCCCCGACGGCGCGCGCCTTATCGACGTCGTCAACGGAGTTGTCGCGCTCTGCGAGAGGGAAGAGCTCGCTCTCATCACCCGCGCTGTCAACTGCGAGTTCGGGCAGATGAAGGTGCTTCACAATCAGCTGAGGCCCCCGCCGGACAGTCTCAGTCTTGCCGATCTGAATGCCCTCCCGTCGCTGATTGTGCCATGGCCCCCTCCATCTGTCGCTCTGTTTGGGTGGGCCAGCAGTTGGCGCACCTCATTCCGCGCCGTGAATCATTTTCGGCAGCGCGCGCTGCACAGTCTGAAAGGATACGCGCAGGACAATGCCACGACCGTTCGCTTCGTCGCAGGCAAATTTTCTGCCCCCTGCTGGAAGCGCCCACTCTCGATTGCTAAATTTCTTGAGCGTGCGCGGCTTCCTCCGCCGCGGTGCCATGGCGAGGGGGGGTGGCGGCGAGCGTTTAGGGATGCGCGCGAGCGCGCCACCCTCGCCCTGGGCGAGTCTCGCCGCCCGCACCCGCAACGCATTTTCGCCCGCCCCCTTCGCGTGCATATTTTTCCTGACGCCTTCCAGGTTACATTCGGCACGCGTCTGCCGGCGTGGCGGGCCATTACTCCGGGGGGGCGGAGGTTGGTGGCGGGGCGGCGGGGCAAGTGCAAGACCTCCCTCGCTCAGCTCAAGCCTGCGTGGCAGTGGAGCATCATCAGGGCCCTCTGCATGGATGGACGACCACGCATAGGCTGCACATAGGCAATCCCCCACCACGTGCATTTGGGGCTGCCAGCAGCCTGATGAGATTACTCACTATTTAAGGTGCTCACGAATGTTCCATCACCTAGCCATGCACCCAGCTTGGAGGAGGCGCCACTTTCCTGGTGCACTACTCGCGCTGCTTGGCCTGAGATAGGACTCTGACTGCGAATGCGAGGGTTCTGAGCTCACGCGCACGGTGTGTCTACGTGCGGTGGTCCTCGCCTATCTGATGTATCATAATAAGGCAACGGATTTTGCCCAGCGCTCACCGATCTCACTGGCTACAGCGCATGACATCGGAGGTGCCATAGAGCTCGCCATGGAGCGATCAGTTTCTCCTCTCGTTTTCTCTTTCTTCACTTTTCTTTCGGTTCCGGCGGGGTGTGGGACTTTGTATGGGTGGGGGGGGAATCGATCGAGGCGCCTGATCCGTCAGCATGATGCGGTCGAGGACTCTCCCGCTGTGCTCTGCGTCTCTCGGCTCTCGCCCGATGGGGGTGGGGGCCCGTCCTGAAGAGACAGGACCTCTTCCTCTCTTTTTGGCCTCGCTTGGGAGGCGATTATTTTCATACCTGGTCTGTTTCGAGCGCCCTCTTTTTGGGGGCTCTGCTGGTGGCGGAGGTGGCAATGGGTTCCGACGCCCTTCGGGAGGCCGAAAAAGAACCTAAGCGCCGCCCAGCAGCAGCCCACTCTCCCTTCGTCGATGCAATTGCGTCGGCCCAGGTAGAGGTCGGCGGTTGGTCGGACCTTCTCGGGTACGTCGCCCTCCCTCCTCCTCCTCTTCCTCCTCCTCCTCCTCCTCCTCCCCCTTCTCGGGTACGTCGCCCTCCCTCCTCCTCCTCTTCCTCCTCCTCCTCCTCCTCCTCCCCCTCCTCCTCCTCCTCCTCCTCCTCCTCCTCCTCCTCCTCCTCTTCACGAGGAACGGGAGGATGGGGGGATGGGGGCCTCCCCCACCCCTCGCCCCACTCTGGGCAGTGGCTGTACGAGATCCCGACGGAGCCGCACAAGCTCGAGGAGGCGCGCGCGCGCGGGTTCGCCCTCCCGTGTCTGCCTGTCTCCCCGAACCCTCCTCGAGTCATGGGGCACGAAGCGCGACGGGAGTGTTTTTTTGGGCGATGTTCTCCTGGGGTCCTTTTCCGGGCCTCCGCGCCTTTACAAAGCGACTCGGGATGGAGACCCGTTCCAGGGAAGTGGTCGAGACCTCTGGGGGTCGACATTATAGAAAGAATCATGACGTCGGGATTTGTGCCTGTCTCCGCCTGTCTGTCTTCGCCTGTCTGCTTCTGCCTGTTTGTCTTTGTGTCTGTCTGTTTGCCTGCCTGCCCTGCCTGCCCTGCCTGCCGGCCCTGCCTGCCTGTCTGCCTGCCTGCCCCGCCCGGCTTGCCTGCCTGCCTGCCCTGACAGCTTCTCGCGCTGTGAACAAACCCACGACGGATGGTTTTTGCCAGTTTTCGGCCTCAGAGGCCCCTTGTCGGGCCCCCAGAGCCAGTCAAGAGAAGGACTCGGGATGATGAGCCAGTCCTTGGGAAGGAGTCCAGACCTCTTGAGAGCCGCGTTATGAAATTATCCCAGTGCGACCCTACGTAGGAGTGGGACCCCCTAGGAAAGCAGCAGTAGTAGTAACAGTAAAGCTAAGCTACAGCCAAGCTAAAGCTAAGCTAAATCTAAGCTAAAGCTAAGCTAAAGCTAAGTTAGAGCTAAGCTAAAGCTAAGCTAAATCTAAGCTGAAGCTAAGCTAAAGCTAAGCTGAAGCTAAGATGAAGCTAAGCTAACACTAAGTTAAAGCCGAGCTATAGCTAAGCTAAGTCTAAGCTAAACTAAGCTAAAGCTAAGCTAAAGCGAAGCTAAAGCTAAGCTAAAGCTAAGCTAAAGCTAAGCTAAAGCTAAGCTAAAGCTAAGCTACCGCTAACCTGGAGCTAAGCTAAAGCCAAGCTCAATCTAAGCTAACACTAAGCTAACGCTAAGCTACAGGTAAGCTAAAGCTAAGCTACAGGTAAGCTAACGCTAAGCTACAGCTAAGCTAAAGCTAAGCTAAAGTTAAGCTAAATCTGAGCTAAGTCTGAGCTAAAGCTAAGTTAAAACAACGCTAACGCTAAGCTAAAGCTAAGCTAACACTAAGTTAAAGCTAAGCTAAAACTAAGCTAACGCTGAGCTAAAACTAAGCTGAAACTAAAGCTAATGCTAACGCTAAAGCTAAAGCTAAAGCTAAAGCTCCCAGGGGACTGGGGGAACCGCTCCTGGGGGATTGGGGGAACCGCCCGGGGCGGGTTACACTTTTGGCCCATTTTAGCTAGAGAGTAAGAACCCTTCTAGGTAGAGCCCAGGTAGGGAAACACAACAACTAGGCTATGCTATGCTATGCTATGCTGCGCTATGCTATGCTGCGCTATGCTTTGCTATGCTATGCTGTGCTATGCTGCGCTATGCTATGCTGTGCTGTGCTATGCTATGCTGCGCTATACTGTATTATGCTGGGCTATGTTATGATCTGCTAAGATAAGCCAAGCTAAACTAAGCTAAGCTACAGCTAAGCGAAGTTAAGATGAAGTTAAGCTAAGCTAAACTAAGCTAAGCTAAGACGACATACGCAAAGCTAAGGTAAGGAGGCGCAACTGCGGGAACCGCGGGGCGGGGACCGGGAGAACCGCCCAGGGCGAAGCCCACTGCCCGGCCCCTTTAAGCTAATAGAGTAAGAACCCTCTAGGCAGAGCCTAGGTAGGGAACAAACTCGACGTTGGATGGCTGGGTGCCTGCATGTTTTGTGTTCAAATCTCTCTCCCTCTCTCTCTTTCTGCCTGGCTGTCTGTGTGTCTGTGTGTCTGTCCGTCTGTCGTTCTGTCTTTTCGTCCGTCCGTCCGTCCGTCGGCTTGTCTGTCTGCCAGTGTGTGTGTGTGTGTGTGTCTGCCTGTCTGCCTGCCTGCCTGCCTGCCTGCCTGCCTGCCTGTCGGTCTTTCTTTTTTCTATCGCACACCGGATCAAGGATCTAGTTTTGTTGGGAGCGTTTTTTGATCGTGTTGGGCCTCCCGGTAGGCTTCTCGTCGCCACGGCCAGATTCTCGGATTCGCGCCGAAATCTGGGTCAAAACGCACCCTCGAACAGCAGTCCGGAAGTGGATCTTAGTTTCCGACCCCAGACCCCTTCTGTCCCTGCCCGCTCCGCCCCCTCCCCCCTTCCCCCCAGTCCCTGCTTTCTCCTCCTTCTCCTCCTCCTCCTCCTTCTCCTCGTCCTACTCTTT